GCAGCAAAAATTATTGTACTAGATTTCGTCAGCAGCCTATAATGATATATTATAATTACATATATATATATAGACTACATCTAGACCACGCACTGTCATGGCCGCCACTCTATTAAAACTTCACTGCCAAACGTTCAAATTAAGGGGCTGCGGCATTAAGCCCGAATTTTGACTACGCTTTTTTAATTAGTACAAAGAGAGGAGTGAACTATCTTGTTGTGTACTATAATCTTTGAGGACAACCAAGAAAACGCATCACGCACAAACGGATACACTTAAGTTGAATTTTCATTTAAAAGTTCTTTACGCATTACGCATTACGCATTGCGCACTACGCATTACGTACACAAGGAAACCGGCATTTACGCCCAAATGACAGTCCAAACATCAGCAACGTCGCAGCCTTTCCTTTGGCTCAAATTCACATTCAGTGAAATGGCGGGCCCTATTGTCACGAAAATACGCCAGAGTGAAAGGTCTACGATAATATATCGTAATAAAAGCTTTAAACAAATACTCACCAATAGAACTTTACTTGGTTGGAAAACGCCAGGTCTGCCATTCACCAGGGACACAAAGATCTGGAGATGAAAGGAGACAAAATGTAAACATGACGCTGTGTTTGAGAACATGGCAACACAACGACAACTAGTGAACTGTCAAAAAGGATATTAACAACAAAGAGCAAGAGCAACATCAACAACAACAGCAATAATAGTAACAACAGTTCATGTAACAACAACAACAACAACAACAACAACAATAACAACAATAACAACAACGAAACAACAGGAACATATAACAATAATGATAAAACAAAGAAGACAAGTCCAATATCGTACAATTACAACTCGAGCAATTTCGACAACAACAAAAACAACAACAACAACAGCAACAACAACAACAGCAACAACAACAATAGAATAACAGGCACAATAACAGCCTTAAGAAAAACAACGGCAGCATCAGTGACAATAACAATAACAAAACAGCAACAAAAACTACATGGATATTAAAACAAAATTATTGTGTCTCTTCCACCTCCACCCTCTCCTCTCTTCCTCCTCCTCCTTCTTTTCTCCAAATCATTTCGGAGGCGGGCTGCAACCCTGACTGTCAGGATTAACCCTTTTTGAGAAGGATACAACGTCCTGGTAGAAAGACCGAAATACTCCATTAAAAAATATCTTCTCACACGGGAATCGAAACAATAATAATTATGTTACTGGCACTGACAGATCAGAGACAAATTACGTCAAGACAAAGTTTACTCTCAGAGTCTTTAGTTTTAGTTTAAGTTTTACGGCACTTGCAACACAATATAAGGTCATATGTGTGCCGAATATTAGAGGTGTTACGAGAGAGAAAAAAAGAAGGAGGAGAGATAAAGACGATAGATGTTTGATACGAAAGAAGAAGCAAACCACACCAGAGCACCCGCCAACCAAACACTGTCACAGACAGCGACAGATCAGTGACAAATTACGTCACGACAAAGTTTATTCTCAGAGTCTTATCACGGAGATGATCGTTCATGACATTTCATAATTTGGCAACCTGACTTCTTGCCCCTCAAGATTTAGTCCAATGCACAAACATGTGCAAGTTCATGTGCGAACATTCCATTAGCGCACAGGCATGTTCACAAATACGTCCACACATAAATGTATACACATACATACACGTAAGCACACACACACATACACACAC